TCCTGCCGTGTCCTGCCATGTCCTGCCGTGTCCTGCCATGTCCTCCCTGGTTGCCGGTCCCCCGTGTTGGCATTAAAACGCTCGTACTTCACCCTTGTTCTACAAACTAGATAAATATCTATCGGCTTTTGAAATTTTTTTGCCATATATTTTCCCTCCTTCTACGTTACACACACACACGTAACACAAAAATTTTGGGGCAGGGCCAGGAGCTAAGACTCAACCTTTGCAACCACATATAGGTGAATACACAGACACATTACGACACCAACAGACATCACACCAACATACACACAGACACACACACAGACACACACAAGCCCACAAAGCCCCACAACAGAATATACATAGACAACAAAAGATACCAGACACAAGACGCACGCGAAAACACACACGCACACTTACATCACAAACACCACACAACACCACACAACACACAACACAACACCCCACACCACACACACACACACACCAACCATAAATATAATATAGCTATATATATAAATGCATTATAATATATATATATTATAAATATTATTATTTATAAAAATATATTTTTATATTTTTTTAATATTTATTAATTCGTTTCGTAGAACTTTACTTTCCTTTATTACTGTTGTTGTTGTTGCGCTGCTGCTGTTCTTAGGTTTGTCCCGTTATGGTGCTTGCTTTGGTACGGGTTTATTGTATCTTTACAGGGTAAATAGCTGGCAAGGATGAATCGTACGTTAATGGCCACTTTTTGGTAGGCGGCTGTCAGCTTTACTCCCAGCAATGTTGATAGATGCCAAGGCGTCATTTGTGAGTTGTATACGTAGGTTGTAAAAAGTGTCAGTTATCCGTTATGAGTGTAGATAAGGTAGAGGGTCAGTTGTGCCGTTTTGAGTGGGTAGATGGAGAAAGGCATTTTTGCTTAGAGTGGGGGATAGAGGGAGAGTGGTCATTGTAACGTACGTTTGCAGATATTAAGAACGAATACTTACAAATATATTCCCCTGAAATGAGTTGTACATGCAGATGGGGTTTTAAAATTTTAAATAAAGTGGGGATGGGATAGGTTGGTGCGAAAACCACCCCGGGAAGTACTACCGTCCCGCCCGATGACTGTGAAACAAAAACCTGTAATTGTTTTGCATGATGTAGGATTGCTGGTTTCTTTTTCTGTCTCATAAACACGCTAAGATAACAGGGATATCTTGCTACTCCTACTAACACTTTGGTCACACTTCACAGACACGCACATGCATATATATATATACATACATCTAGGTTTTCTCCTTTTTCTAAATAGCTCTTGTTCTTTTTTATTTCTTCTATGTCATGGGGAAGTGGAAAAGAATCTTTCCTCCGTAAGCCATGCGTGTCGTATGAGGCGACTAAAATGCCGGGAGCAAATGGGCTAGTAACCCCTTCTCCTGTATACAATTACTAAAAAAGAGAAGAAGAAAAACTTTATAAAACTGGGTTGCTTAAATGTGCGTGGATGTAGTGCGGATGACAAGAAACAGATGATTGCTGATGTTATGAATGAAAAGAAGTTGGATGTCCTGGCCCTAAGCGAAACAAAGCTGAAGGGGGTAGGAGAGTTTCAGTGGGGGAAATAAATGGGATTAAATCTGGAGTATCTGAGAGAGTTAGAGCAAGGAAGGGGTAGCAGTAATGTTAAATGATCAGTTATGGAAGGAGAAAAGAGAATATGAATGTGTAAATTCAAGAATTATTGGATTAAAGTAAAGGTTGGATGCGAGAAGTGGGTCATAATAAGCGTGTATGCACCTGGAGAAGAGAGGAATGCAGAGGAGAGAGAGAGATTTTGGGAGATGTTAAGTGAATGTATAGGAGCCTTTGAACCAAGTGAGAGAGTAATTGTGGTAGGGGACTTGAATGCTAAAGTAGGAGAAACTTTTAGAGAGGGTGTGGTAGGTAAGTTTGGGGTGCCAGGTGTAAATGATAATGGGAGCCCTTTGATTGAACTTTGTATAGAAAGGGGTTTTGTTATAGGTAATACATATTTTAAGAAAAAGAGGATAAATAAGTATACACGATATGATGTAGGGCGAAATGACAGTAGTTTGTTGGATTATGTATTGGTAGATAAAAGACTGTGAGTAGACTTCAGAATGTAATGTTTATAGAGGGGCCACAGATATATCAGATCACTTTCTAGTTGTAGCTACACTGAGAGTAAAAAGGTAGATGGGATACAAGGAGAATAGAAGCATCAGGGAAGAGAGAGGTGAAGGTTTATAAACTAAAAGAGGAGGCAGTTAGGGTAAGATATAAACAGCTATTGGAGGATAGATGGGCTAATGAGAGCATAGGCAATGGGGTCGAAGAGGTATGGGGTAGGTTTAAAATGTAGTGTTAGAGTGTTCAGCAGAAGTTTGTGGTTACAGGAAAGTGGGTGCAGGAGGGAAGAGGAGCGATTGGTGGAATGATGATGTAAAGAGAGTAGTAAGGGAGAAAAAGTTAGCATATGAGAAGTTTTTACAAAGTAGAAGTGATGCAAGGAGGGAAGAGTATATGGAGAAAAGAGAGAGGTTAAGAGAGTGGTTTTAAGCAATGTAAAAAGAGAGCAAATGAGAGAGTGGGTGAGATGTTATCAACAAATTTTGTTGAAAATAAGAAAAAGTTTTGGAGTGAGATTAACAAGTTAAGAAAGCCTAGAGAACAAATGGATTTGTCAGTTAAAAAATAGGAGAGGAGAGTTATTAAATGAGAGTTAGAGGTATTGGGAAGATGGAAGGAATATTTTGAGGAATTGTTAAATGTTGATGAAGATAGGGAAGCTGTGATTTCGTGTATAGGGCAAGGAGGAATACATCTTGTAGGAGTGAGGAAGAGCCAGTTGTGAGTGTGGGGGAAGTTCGTGAGGCAGTAGGTAAAATGAAAGGGGGTAAGGCAGCCGGATTGATGGGATAAAGATAGAAATGTTAAAAGCAGGTGGGGATATAGTTTTGGAGTGGTTGGTGCAATTGTTTAATAAATGTATGGAAGAGGGTAAGGTACCTAGGGATTGGCAGAGAGCATGCATAGTTCCTTTGTATAAAGGCAAAGGGGATAAAAGAGAGTGCAAAAATATAGGGGGATAAGTCTGTTGAGTACCTGGTAAAGTGTATGGTAGAGTTATAATTGAAAGAATTAAGAGTAAGACGGAGAATAGGATAGCAGATGAACAAGGAGGCTTTAGGAAAGGTAGGGGGTGTGTGGACCAGGTTGTTTACAGTGAAACATATAAGTGAACAGTATTTAGATAAGGCTAAAGAGGTCTTTGGGCATTTATGGATTTGGAAAAGGCGTATGACAGGGTGGATAGGGGGGCAATGTGGCAGATGTTGCAAGTGTATGGTGTAGGAGGTAGGTTACTGAAAGCAGTGAAGAGTTTTTACGAGGATAGTGAGGCTCAAGTTAGAGTATGTAGGAAAGAGGGAAAATTTTTCCCAGTAAAAGTAGGCCTTAGACAAGGATGTGTGATGTCACCGTGGTTGTTTAATATATTTATAGATGGGGTTGTAAGAGAAGTAAATGCGAGGGTCTTGGCAAGAGGCGTGGAGTTAAAAGATAAAGAATCACACACCAAAGTGGGAGTTGTCACAGCTGCTCTTTGCTGATGACACTGTGCTCTTGGGAGATTCTGAAGAGAAGTTGCAGAGATTGGTGGATGAATTTGGTAGGGTGTGCAAAAGAAGAAAATTAAAGGTGAATACAGGAAAGAGTAAGGTTATGAGGATAACAAAAAGATAGGTGATGAAAGATTGAATATCAGATTGGAGGGAGAGAGTATGGAGGAGGTGAACGTATTCAGATATTTGGGAGTGGACGTGTCAGCGGATGGGTCTATGAAAGATGAGGTGAATCATAGAATTGATGAGGGAAAAGAGTGAGTGGTGCACTTAGGAGTCTGTGGAGACAAAGAACTTTGTCCTTGGAGGCAAAGAGGGAATGTATGAGAGTATAGTTTTACCAACGCTCTTATATGGGTGTGAAGCGTGGGTGATGAATGTTGCAGCGAGGAGAAGGTGGAGGCAGTGGAGATGTCATGTCTGAGGGCAATGTGTGGTGTGAATATAATGCAGAGAATTCGTAGTTTGGAAGTTAGGAGGAGGTGCGGGATTACCAAAACTGTTGTCCAGAGGGCTGAGGAAGGGTTGTTGAGGTGGTTCGGACATGTAGAGAGAATGGAGCGAAACAGAATGACTTCAAGAGTGTATCAGTCTGTAGTGGAAGGAAGGCGGGGTAGGGGTCGGCCTAGGAAGGGTTGGAGGGAGGGGGTAAAGGAGGTTTTGTGTGCGAGGGGCTTGGACTTCCAGCAGGCATGCGTGAGCGTGTTTGATAGGAGTGAATGGAGACAAATGGTTTTTAATACTTGACGTGCTGTTGGAGTGTGAGCAAAGTAACATTTATGAAGGGATTCAGGGAAACCGGCAGGCCGGACTTGAGTCCTGGAGATGGGAAGTACAGTGCCTGCACTCTGAAGGAGGGGTGTTAATGTTGCAGTTTAGAAACTGTAGTGTAAAGCACCCTTCTGGCAAGACAGTGATGGAGTGAATGATGGTGAAAGTTTTTCTTTTTCGGGCCACCCTGCCTTGGTGGGAATCGGCCGGTGTGATAATAAAAAATGTGGGGGGTCACTTGTTCAGGATGCAGGTATCTGTTTAATTACCGTATGCCTCGGAATAACGACATATAAGGGACGTGCAGTTGGTAGTCATACAGGTAGGGACGTAGAAAAGAATATGTCCTGGTTTACTGCGTGTCCGCCAGACAAGGTCGGGGGATTGGTGTCCCTTTTGTGACTTTTGTGTATTTTTTTTTTCTTCAGCAGAAGAGGATCTCAGGTGAATCTCGAAATATACAATTCAAAATTTCGTGTGTGTGTGTGTGTGTGTGTGTGTGTGTGTGTGTGTGTGTGTGTGTGTGTGTGTGTGTGTGTATCCTCCTACTATCATCTTCCCTCACTGTGTCCAGCACCTCCCTCAAGTTCTCCCTCCATCCTACAGGTGCTGGAGTGTGTTACTTCAGCCTGGAGTACCAAGGGACATACGCCACCCAGAGCATCATCAGTGGTGGCTCTGACGTACGCTACCTGGAGGTGGTCATTCAAGCTGACTCCATACCCATCTGGGGCATCTGTCATCGACGCCTGGGCAACAATGTTATCCTCTATGATACGTGAGTATCCCCGTGTGTGTGTGTGTGTGTGTGTGTGTGTACTCAGTTGTACTCACCTAGTTGTAGTTGCAGGATTCGATTCACAGCTCCTGGCTCCGCCTCTTCACTGGTGTGTGTGTATATATGTGTGTAGCCATTGCTACCCACCTCCAGTATGTATTCCGTTTCCGGTCTCCTTTCTCCTCAGATATTCTTGACCTTGCAGAGGTTGAACTGCTGTAGCCACCTGCGTTTATGTGTGTGTGTGTGTGTGTGTGTGTGTGTGTGCGTGTGTACTCACCTATATGTGGTTGCAGGGGTAGATTCATAGCTTCTGGTCCCGTATGTGTGTGTGTGTGTGTGTGTGTAAACTTGGTAATTGATACCGACAAATTGGTTTAAAAAACACGTGATCAAACACTAGGACATACAAATGAAAAAAAAAAAAACCGTTTCGGTCCTGGAACCTTGATCACTTCTCTCATACACAGATTAAAAAGACTTAATACTAGGCTGAGAGTGAGGTGTGAGTGACACATAGTGACATGAAGAATGACATATTGGGTTGAGGACGGGTAGACAATGGGATCACGTGACTCATGTGTTGTTAGGTAGGTGGTGCTTTACCTGGCTGAGTATCATGTATGCTAAGGTTATTGAAATTTTGCAATTTCCGGTATTTTGGTGTAGATGACAGCGATTATCGTGGCTTCCAGATATCGTCCGCGTCTAAGATCGCGTTTCGTGAGGACGAGCTGTACCTCATCCCAATTCATCGAGTGTCCCGTGGAGTTCCTGTGGAGACACAGGTGTACCTTAAGTCGTCTCTGTTGCTGGCGATTCGATGTTCGTTCCGTGGAGTCCCTCCACAGGAACTCCACGGGACACTTGATGAATTGGAATAAGGCACAGCTCGTCTTCACCGAACAAGATCTTAGACGCCGACGATGTCTGGAAGCCTCGCTAATCGCCGTCACCGACACCAAAATACTGGAAATTGCAAAATTTCAATAACATTAGCATACATGATACTCAGCCAGGTAAAGCACCACCTACCTAATTCTTCAGATCACTATGTACCACACCTCACTCTTCGCCTACATATACTGTCACTTTAGCCTCTGTATGTTAGAAGTGATTAAGGTGCCAGGACCAAAACGCTTTGTAATAAATATGTGTTTTTAAACCAGTGTGTGTGAGAGAGAGGGAGGAAGGGGAGGGGAAGCTCTATTTCTTGGTTCATCTTTAGTTTTCGACTGATCGATGTGAAGCATCTCTTCCGTATCCATTTTTGAACCACTCTGTGCTACCCGCTTCCACTTTACTGATCTGTGGCTGCTAAGGCTGAAGCTCAACTCCTGGCCCTGCTTCTTACAATAGCCACTACTGGGTTCACTTTCACCTGACTGCGCGAACCCTGTCATACCTAGTTTTAAAGCTTCCTCCTCTTCGCTATCCAGGTCGTCCCACTTCCTGACCATTCTAAAGTTGAAGAAATATTTCCTAACATTCCTGTGGCTCGCCTGTGCTTTTCAGAACATTCTATTTCTGTTCACCCTTTAAATTCCTATCAGTATACGATGACAGTACCATCATGTCTCCCATAATCCTTTAGGTCTTTCAATTTATCAGGTTTAATCCCTTTAGCCTCTCCTCAAACACTTCAACTCGTTACAGAAGTGTATTGTCTCCAGTTTTTGTTATTATGCTCCAAGATGATGGTCATGACATATTTCGTTTGTGCTTTTTGAGATTCCTTAAAATTTGTTTTTATTTGCAAAATGGACGTATATTGCAGAGGTTATTATGTTGATGTGCGCCTCAGGTTATATGTTCCGTGCTATGCTCACTCTGAGGTCCTTCTCCTTGAGAGAGATTTGCAGCCTTTGTCTACCGAGCCTGTACCTCGTTTCTGGTCTTCTTTGTTCTTCCCAAGTTATCATAACTTTACATTAGTTCAGTCCACTTCTACAGCGTGTCCAGGTTCGCTTGTAAATTTCCCTTGCATTGTCTGTTTTTATTTGCTTCTTCAGTTACACATTATCAGTGAACAGGGATACCTGTGACTCGGTCATCTCTGGCATGTCATTCACATTTACTGGAAACAGTGCAGGTCCTAGACTCCCACTACTGGTCCTTGTGGAATCCCGCTTGTTACACTTGCCCATTCTCGCACGTCTTTCCAAACAATTGCTCTTTGTTTTCTTCCTGTTAGTTTTCCTTGATCCACTGTGGTGCATTACGTTATTCCTGCTTCCTCTTCTAGCTTTTGTTTCAGTCTCTCTTGTGGCACTGTGTCTGCCGATATCTCTCTCTCTCTCTCTCTCTCTCTCTCTCTCTCTCTCTCTCTCTCTCTCTCTCTCTCTCTCTCTCTCTCTCTCTCTCTCTCTCTCTCTCTCTCTCTTTCTCTCTCTCTCACTCACTCACTCACTCTCTTACCTCATTTCCGTTACCATGTCATAGAATTCTAGGTCTGTGAGACCGGATTTACCATCTCTGAAACCGTGATAATTGTCATTTATAAAGCTGCTCCTTTCCAGGTGCTCCGCCACTCTTCTCCCGAATAATCTTCTCCACAACCGTGTACAGTATGAGTGTCAATAACGCTGGTTTAACACTGCCTATCTGCCCCTCTTCCATAATTACTGCAACTACGCCTGTTGTCTTCCACACACCTGCAAGTTAACTCATTTCAATTGAAATCATTCTCCTTTTCCTTGCATCATGCCTGAATACTTCCAGTTTTCCAGGTGCTGCAGAACCTTTACGGATTGTTCTTCCTATAATAATAATAATAAAATAATAATAATAATAATAATAATAATAAATAATAAATAATAATAAATAATAATAATTGTGTCTGTCACAGCACGGGAGGTACTGACTGCGTTCGATGTTTTCACCTGGAGTTCCGGTCTCGCCACATCCTGGAGGTGCACAACGAAGGGCTCCGCAAGTGTTACACGAACGAGGAGGCTGCGCTACAGACCTGCCCGACCCTTGAACACATCCGCAACAGACAGACGAGGGAGATCATGCTCTATAGTGAGTGATTTGGCAATATAGTTGCAGACGAGTGAAATAGGCTCACGAGTAGCGTCATTGAGGCGAGAATTTTTGGTAGTGTAATAGGGTGAACAAGTTTATGGGTGGATGCGAGTTGGACTTGCCTAGCATGGGCCTGCCGGAGTGCTCCACTATTCTTGTGTCCCTGTGTTGTTCAGAATTTTAATCAATTTGATAATGGTTTAGACCATACCAGAAATACCACTTAGTTTAGATTTAGATTTTGAAGGTTAGTTGTGAATAGTAGGTGCGATAGTTTGTTTGATGGCTTTACTAAGCACCAAATAATAATCTTGATAGTGACAGAGTCCCTTATAACCAAACAATGCTGGTACCAGCAGTCACCTCATAACCAAACAATGCTGATACCAGCAGTCACCTCATAACCAAACAATGCTGGTATCAGTAGTCACTTCATAACCAAACAATGCTGGTATCAGTAGTCACTTCATAACCAAACAATGCTGGTACCAGCAGTCACCTCATAACCAAACAATCCTTGTGCCAGCAGTCACCTCATAACCAAACAATCCTTGTGCCAGCAGTCACCTCATTACCAAACAATGCTGGTACCAGCAGTCACCTCATAACCAAACAATCCTTGTACCAGCATTCACCTCATTACCAAACAATGCTGGTACCAGCAGTCACCTCATAACCAAATAATCCTTGTACCAGCAGTCACCTCATTACCAAACAATGCTGGTACCAGCAGTCACCTCATAATTATACTGTGGGTAGCAGCGAAATGATTAGAGAGGCATGATAACTCACGAAATCGTAATGACGCGATTGCAAACAATCCATGATAGATCCATGAGCTGTGTTCCAACAATTTGTTAGTTAAGTTAGCTGCGTTCTTCTGTGATAGTAATGTATCTTCTACGATAGTAATGTATCTTCTACGATAGTAATGTATCTTCTTTGATAATAATGTATCTTCTACGATAGTAATGTATCTTCTTTGATAATACTGTATCTTCTACGATAGTAATGTATCTTCTACGATAGTAATGTATCTTCTACGATAGTAATGTATCTTCTACGAAAGTAATGTATCTTCTACGATAGTAATGTATCTTCTACGATAGTAATGTATCTTCTACGATAGTAATGTATCTTCTACGAAAGTAATGTATCTTCTACGATAGTAATGTATCTTCTACGATAGTAATGTATCGTCTACGATAGTAATGTATCTTCTACGATAGTAACAGCAAAGTATTCACATGTGTTAAGTCTCGTGACACAACAATAGACAGAACGTTCAAAGAAGGTACAAAGAAGCTTCAAAGATGGTTCAAGGAAGCATCTTTCAAAGATGGTTCAAAGAAGGTTCAAAGATGGTTCAAGGAAGGTTCGAAGATGGTTCAAAGAAGGATCAAAGAATATTTAGGGAAGGTTCAAAGATAGTTCATGGAAGGTTCAAATGTTCAGAGAACGGAACAAAGAAAGTTCAAAGAAAGCACAAAGATGGTTCACAGAAGGTCAAACAAGGTTCAAAAAAAAAAAAAAAAAAACTCAGAGATACAGCAGCAATTTCCGGAAATCTTAACAATATTTTCTGGCGATCAGGAACGTGAATAAACCCAGAGAAAAATAAACAGAAAAGCTCCTTGCAAACTTTTATTAATAACAGTGAAACTCTCCCACACTCTGAAGATATTTTGAATATAAACTTTTATACTTTTCATCTTCTAGCTTTCAGGGAAGTGCTCAAAATGTGAAAGATATTAAGTTTTATATATATATATATATATATATATATATATATATATATATATATATATATATTATATATATATATATATATATTTATTTATTATCACACTGGCCGATTCCCACCAAGGCAGGGTGGCCCGAAAAGAAAGAACTTTCACCATCATTCACTCCATCACTGTCTTGCCAGAAGGGTGCTTTACACTACAGTTTTTAAACTGCAACATTAACACCCCTCCTTCAGAGTGCAGGCACTGTACTTCCCATCTCCAGGACTCAAGTCCGGCCTGCCGGTTTCCCTGAACCCCTTCATAAATGTTACTTTGCTCACACTCCAACAGCACGTCAAGTATTAAAAACCATTTGTCTCCATTCACTCCTATCAAACACGCTCACGCATGCCTGCTGGAAGTCCAAGCCCCTCGCACAAAAACCTCCTTTACCCCCTCCCTCCAACCTTTCCTAGGCCGACCCCTACCCCGCCTTCCTTCCACTACAGACTGATACACTCTTGAAGTCATTCTGTTTCGCTCCATTCTCTCTACATGTCCGAACCACCTCAACAACCCTTTCTCAGCCCTCTGGACAACAGTTTTGGTAATCCCGCACCTCCTCCTAACTTCCAAACTATTAATTCTCTGCATTATATTCACACCACACATTGCCCTCAGACATGACATCTCCACTGCCTCCAGCCTTCTCCTCGCTGCAACATTCATCACCCATGCTTCACACCCATATAAGAGCGTTGGTAAAACTATACTCTCATACATTACCCTCTTTGCCTCCAAGGACAAAGTTCTTTGTCTCCACAGACTCCTAAGTGCACCACTTACCCTTTTCCCCTCATCAATTCTATGAGTCACCTCATCTTTCATAGACCCATCCGCTGACACGTCCACTCCCAAATATCTGAATACATTCACCTCCTCCATACTCTCTCCCTCCAATCTGATATCCAATCTTTCATCACCTAATCTTTTTGTTATCCTCATAACCTTACTCTTTCCTGTATTCACTTTTAATTTTCTTCTTTTGCACACCCTACCAAATTCATCCACCAATCTCTGCAACTTCTCTTCAGAATCTCCCAAGAGCACAGTGTCATCAGCAAAGAGCAACTTTGACAACTCCCAATTTATGTGTGATTCTTTATCTTTTAACTCCACGCCTCTTGCCAAGACCCTCGCATTTACTTCTCCTCTTACAACCCCATCTATAAATATATTAAGCAACCACGGTGACATCACACATCCTTGTCTAAGGCCTACTTTTACTGGGAAATAATTTCCCTCTTTCCTACATACTCTAACTTGAGCCTCACTATCCTCGTAAAAACTCTTCACTGCTTTCAGTAACCTACCTCCTATACCATACACCTGCAACATCTGCCACATTGTCCCCCTATGCACGTCTCCATCCTAGAGCCACAAATTGCCGCAAGAAGTGTGGGCACACCTCTAATATTCGACCCAAGAAGAAGATAAAGAGTTAAATGAGGTGGATAGAATATTCCTGAGGTATGGATAATTGTGATAATTATCTTCAAATAAAGCATATACAATATATATATATCAACTTACTACAAAGTGCTCCCGTCCTTCCAGAGACGGCAACGACGGAGGGCCAGGCGCTAGAGCCAGTCTATTGCCCTTTAGATGGACGGTTCCACCTTACTTACAACATCAACGATGGCAGGGAGAGTGCCACTGAGTGCCCTGAGCCATCCTCCACCCTGGCCAACTGCCCCAGGGGCAATGCCTTCACTATGGAGTTCCACAGATGCAAATTTGGGGATTTCT